CGTAGGGAATTGAGCTTCAGCTGTTTGGTCCCGCCCCTCAGCTGTATTCACCTAGTTGTATTCACCTAATTTGTGCTTGCAGGGGTTGAGCTTTGGTTCTTTGGTCCCGACTCTCAACCGTCAATCAACAGGTGTACAGGTTCCTGAGCCTATTGGGCTCTATCACATCTACATTTGAAATTGTGTATGGAGTCAGCCTCCACCACATCACTGCTTAATACATTCCATTTGTTAACTACTCTGACACTGAAAAAATTCTTTCTAATATCTCTGTGGCTCATTTGGGTACTAAGTTCCCCTTGTTCGTGTTCCACCAGTGTTAAAGAGCTGTCTTTGTAACTATCAAAATGCATATATCTTTGCTTTCACTTCAGTTATATTTATGACAAGGGATTTAAAATTTGCCTATATTTCTGCTTCTCTGATGACATTATAAACTTTCGTTTATTACAGTATCTACATAAAATTAACATTTATCTTCATTAGGTTGTAGTTCTCATCAATAGGGAGAGCGTCGGTAAAAAAAAAAAAATTGCATATAAAAAAGAACACTGTTTCCCAAAAACGGTGGGTTTTCTGAGTGGAAGAAAACGTATGTCTGGAAGCCGACTTTAACCGCCCCAAGCTGCGCGCGCATTGACCCGAGGTTATATAAACCGGGACGGAGACGGCGTGGGCCCCTTTCCCCAAGCCAGCAGCTGCTCTTACATAACGCCCACCCTCCTCCCGGGATCCTCTGCATCCCCTGTTTTAATTTTGAAAGGGACGGCCCACAGATGTGCTCAAGGGGCACTTGCTCTAGCATGCTAAACATTTGCTGTATCTTTGGGGGTGCTCCGCCGGAACCCCCAAAGTGATAAGCCTGCAGATAGCTAAGAAATATTCCCATGAATTGTAATTAGTCTAATTAATGCAACTTTCATTTACTACCTATGGATGTAGTTATTAATTGTAATTGATCTCTACTTTATCATTAAGGATTATTCATTATAATTATTCCTTAATACTTTATTGTTATGCACTAGTCAATAATTATTTATCATTCATCCAAATTAGCTATTGGATTCATTAAAATAATTGCTTATCATTATACTATTTGTTATTATTATTATATATTATATAATAATAATTTTATCTATTAATTTGTTATTTATTAATTTATATAATAAATTTTATTATATATTAATTTTATATATTAATTTATTATTCATTATAAAATAAACAAGTCCCCAATCTGAGCACGTTTTCTTCCAACCTCAGAAAATATCTTTCCTCTCTCAATAATATGCCCGAAACGCTATGCGTACTAGTGGCTTTAGGTATTGTATGTACTAGCTCTATCTATAAATCCAATATTATGTTTGTAAATCGACTATTTATGTACTTTCCTGAATAAAATGAACTTTACTTTACTAATATCTAATCTGTGACTAAAACGTAAGAACGACTTTATCTATGCCTTTTTGATAACATATACAATTATAAGTTTTATTAGTGAATCTCTATTAATTAAACAATATATCAGAGAGTGTGTAAGGTTCGGTGTTCCATGTGCAAAGAGACATGGGAGATTTTACATCAGTACAGTAAATGTTTTAAGTAGCGAACGCGTACTAACGAATAACGATTAGTATAGACCAACACTATTGTTCTATGAAGTCGATTTAACTTCCAGACATGTATTTTTCAATAAGTCTTAAATATTTTCTGGCTAGTTATGTTAGATATTATTAGAAATACGTATTCTACGTGTTAATATAATAAACTAAATTTGCGATCATTTAAGGAGAGAAGTGCGACGACTGGATCACTGTGTACAGAAGGTTGATATGCCAACAAACACTTTCCAGACAACAATATATCTTGGATAAGTCGCTCCACAACATTGACACCTGGACCGTTGACTTCCTATGAGGCCACATATTTACTTATTTCATAATGGAAGTATATTATTTTATAGTAAATATATGTTTTCTCGTGTTCTGCATTAAGCACCAACATTATAGTGAATAAATATACCATATTTCTTCATTATTTAAGTAATGCTAGATGGCTTTGAGTAGCTTTGGGTCATTAGGTGAACAGAATCTCCAATAGATGGGGCGAGAGTCGCGCTATCTCTCGCCCGAGCGAGAGTCGAAACTTATTTTAGAATTGATATATCTTTGTCCTCCAACAAGATATATTTCCTTTGGTGCACTCACAATAACGAGCATATCTGTCTTTCTGAAGGCATATAATATTTTAGGCTTTATAAGCGTATCTTTGTTAATTACACACTATATTGGCAAGTGCGTAGGCTTCTGCATTCCATGACCGACAAGCTACTGAATGCCACTATAAAAACGTATGTATCTTCACTTGAGCTTTATATATGTCTATGTTAAAGTATTTAAAATGAAGCTTATATTTCTATCTTTCTTGAGACATATAAAACATGTGTGTTTATTAATGAATTTACGTGAAATAAGCATTGTTCTGAGAGAGAGTTGCTCTGTCGATCAGTCTGTGCGGGGTCGGAGCTCAGCGATTATTAAAACACATGTATCTTCATTAGAACTTTATATATATCTATGGTAAAGTATTTAAAATGAAGCTTATATTTCTATCTTTCTCAACACACACAAAAACATTTGCGTTTATTAGCGAATTTACGTGAAATAAGCATTGTTCTGAGAGAGAGTTACTCTGTTGCTCGATCTGTGCGGGATCGGAGCTCGCCGATTAGAAAAATACACGTATCTTCGCTTTAAATACAAATATGCCCATGGTAAGGCATTTAAAATGAAGATTATGTTTATCTTTCTTGAGACGTATAAAAATCTTACGTTTATTAACGATTCTGCGTGAAATAACCATTGTTCTGAGATGAATATTGCGGATTTCCGGCTCTACGACCGATGAAAAATGCAACTTTTATACAACTACAAATATCTTTAGTTTTACTTTAAATTGTCCTGAAAGAGTTTTCATATATAGATCCAGTTTCTGCCGTTCTTCTGACATAAAAAGACCTTTGGTTTAATAAGTTAAGATGTTTTCAACAATATTACTAGGGCGTTCACCGATTCTAACATGGGCGACCCTTTTGGAAACGCAACACATGGGTTGACCTGATTGATATATGGGTCAGATTCCATTAAGGTTCGGAACAATTATATGCAAGTAATTTATAGTCCGCTTATTATAATTTGCTGAAAAGCACCCAGATTTCTCCCAAGTGCTGCTAACCCTTAACAGGATGCACTGCAGAATAGTGATTTAAATCATGGGTTGAAACAGAATTTTGACTTGTAACTTTTTTTTTTATTAACTTTTCAGTATAGTAAAGTATTTTAGTAAAAAGTATTCATCTGTCAACAGCTATCATCATCGATGACTTCACTACTATTAATTATTAAGCCTTAAAACCATCCAAAATACCGAGAGCCATAGGTGGTAGCTATGTATACCATAGGTGAACTAAAGATCTTAAATAATTAATAATAATAATTAAAATTAACTCTGCCTCAACTAGATTTTCTTGATTTTCTCGGAACAATGCTGCCCTCAGGCTGCTCAGAGGCAATCAGAAATGGTAAGCCATTCCCTCTTTACGAGAAAAGGATTTAACTAAATTTGGAGCACTGTGTCCTCAGTCCCACAAGGCCTCTGTGTCATCCTGTTCTCAGTCCCACAAGGCCTCCGTGTCATCCTGTTCTCAGTCCCACAAGGCCTCCGTGTCATCCTGTTCTCAGTCCCACAAGGTCTCCGTGCCATCCTGTTCTCAGTCCCACAAGGTCTCCGTGCCATCCTGTTCTCAGTCCCACAAGGTCTCCGTGCCATCCTGTTCTCAGTCCCACAAGGTCTCCGTGCCATCCTGTTCTCAGTCCCACAAGGTCTCCGTGCCATCCTGTTCTCAGTCCCACAAGGTCTCCGTGCCATCATGTTCTCAGTCCCACAAGGCCTCCGTGTCATCCTGTTCTCAGTCCCACAAGGTCTCCATGCCATCCTGTTCTCAGTCCCACAAGGTCTCCGTGCCATCCTGTTCTCAGTCCCACAAGGTCTCCGTGCCATCCTGTTCTCAGTCCCACAAGGTCTCCGTGCCATCATGTTCTCAGTCCCACAAGGCCTCCGTGTCATCCTGTTCTCAGTCCCACAAGGTCTCCATGCCATCCTGTGCTGTCCCACAAGGTCTCCGTGCTCAAAATAAAATAAGGGGGAACATGGCAGAAATCAACAATTATACAACTTGGTCAGCAAACCTTTTTTTTAAATAGCAAGACATGGGTTGACATTTAGGGGTAAGGTAGGCTATATGGAGTTCATTAGGTAGTACTCAAGTTTCTTAAACTGGTTGAGATGGGGGTACAGCCTTTGACATGATTGGGAAGGTCATTCCATATTCTGGGTCCCTTGATCTGTAGAGCATTTCTAGTTAGGTTAAGGCACACTCTTGTTATATCAAATAGGCAATTGTTTCTGGTGTGGTGGCCATGGGTTCTATCCTAGTGTATATATTTTAATTTGGCGACACTAGAATAGTGTCTACGGCCGCTGGGACCGGTACTATGGTACATGAAGGGTTGGTGCCTGGTGATAACTAATAACTGTAAAGCTACCACAGGAAAAAACTGAGCATTTGCATCATAGGAACATTGTGACATTGTGAGCATTGTGACAAATACTACGGTAACCTATGGTTGATATTCTATCAACAGGGTTGCAATGTTGATAGAAGCAAATGGTACATACTGTCAATCAACAGGAAAGTTGCACACTTAAAATCATATTAATACATTCAAACTGTTCTAAATGTTAATAATTCCCCAAAATATTTAGCGTGTGTATAAATATATACTAGTATAGCATTGTGGAACAATAAATTACCTTAATTGCTTTCAAACAAAACTTTAAACATAAAACGGGGACAAAGTATAATAGGCAAAATGCTCATTGCTGTAACTCGGTAAAAATGACACTGTTCATGTAAATTATCTTTGGCAATTGAAAACACAGCATATTGGTAAAAATAGTTTATTAATTTAACATCAATTCAAGTATTGACTCTGCACGAGAGAGAGAGAGAGAGAGAGAGAGAGAGAGAGAGAGAGAGGAGAGAAAAAAAAAAAACAGGTACATAAGGAGTTTTTTTTTTGTTTGTTTTTAGAGATAGACTTGTATGTCCCAGGTGTGCATTTTTTTTATATTTTTTTTTTTATATATATGTACTGTAACATACAGTATGGCATGAGAATAATGAATCCAAAATATGAGGTTAACATCTGTGGTTCACTATAAAATAAAGTAAGTCACTCATGACTGAGAATGGAATGAAAGGTCCATTGTAAAGCTAAAACAAAATTCCAGAACACACATTAAGAATGTGCATAATCCTGTGTGCAATCTTAAAATCTTCCTCCCACTAACTTCACTTACACCTTGCATTAAACAAGAATAATCTTCGGTGCCAGTTGTTAGCTACTGCTGCAAAAGCAGCATTTATCCATACTAAGGTTTTCCCCCACCATGTTTGCTTGCAACCAACACTTACTCGAATGGTGCCGACATTGCTTTAGCTTGTGCTCGTACTCTCTTCTCGTATTCCAATCGATTTTGACTGAAAAATAAAATTATTCCACAATGAGTATCTGCCTAAAGTAACTTTATACAGAACATGAAAACACTACTCATTGAACCATCCACTAAAGTCAAACTTTCACTATCAACTGCATTCCTGTTAGTCATGAAACATAATGTAGTCGAGTCTTATTAAGAGCCTGTACTCTACATAATGATCATGTGACTTGTCTCAAGTATCCAATGCCCCATTATCAGGTGTGCATATTATTGCACTACTTAATGATATTTAAAACCTTACTTTGCAAGAGCACAAAGCCTTTGGCTGTACTGCTTAAACACCCAACGATATCTGTTGGATAAGCATTGTCCTTTATGGATAATAAACTAATTGTTATGCAAGTTTAGAATGTTTGGATAGTGCCAAAAAGATGCAAGCCATGATGTGGCCAACAAGTACAACAGCTGGTAATAATCTTCACATAAGAGATGACCCAGATAAATGGTCATGTGGGAAGTATAGTGAAGTTTTGGGTTAGAAATGCTAAGGTGGTTGTGTGGTGTTGCATAAACGGGTGAAGTGACAGGAGGTTCTTGGTGGAACAGCTTCAGACCTTAACAGTTAAGTGTTCAGTTATACATTGATCCCCAAGGTCATTTATATCAAGTTCTTATGCAACTTACGTAAGTATGGTTGCACTACATCCACATGGGTAAATATTAACCTAAAACCATGAAAAAATCTGCAATCATTTACAATTGCTTATTGTTAACAAGGTGTACAGATATCAATACTGTACTTCAATGTAGATGATGAGTCAATAGCGTGGCTGAAGATATGAGCAAACCACACACCAGAAGCTGAAGAAAACGTCGTTTTGGTCCGTACTGGACCATTATCAAGTCGATTGTGCTGTACTTCAATATTATATAAATGTTAAAACATTGATTCACAATCTGTGTTTGTAAACTTTTATAGTAAATTAATATAATCATAGCACTACTAAATAAAACTTCTGGGGAAAAACATCGAAGCTAATCCAAGTGGTCTGAGAGATGCATTCCACAACTATGAATAGAACCACAAGTATGCTTCAGAATTGGAGTACCTTCCTGCAGAGTATAAAAGGTTATAGTGTTGCTTCATTTGAATGCCACATTCTTTTTTGGGGGGAAAATTTCAATAAATAATAAGAGCTTTAGATTTTAGAGAAAATTAAGAGTGGAGGAAATTAGTAAATTTATGTTTTATAGTTTGGTCATGGTAGAGTGCAAAAAGGTAGATTTGCATAAAAAGTACCCCCCCCCTCCAAATCACAACAGCTCCACCAAGGCAGAATCTAAGCAGGAATCTCAGACAAGGCACTCGTAGCCCAGACCTCCCAGAGCAAAAGACAATGAGGGTGCAAACTTTGAGTAGGTCTGCACAACCAAACGTTCCAACTACAGAGTATCCGAGTCCAACCAAGACTGGAGACGAAAATGGGACACCCTGTCCTGCGAAGCAGTTACCGCTTGACAAGCTGCACCCTGAAATGAGGGCTTTACCAAAACAGAGAGCCAAATAAAACAACACCTCACCCTACTACCAACTCCCAAAACAGATTTTAATGCACTGTGGTATACCAAAAATATGAACCAATGAATAATAGTTTCCCCAACACCTAAGGAGCCAAACATCCAGAAACCATGTAGGGCACAATAGTCTACCAGTATGGTAGGTTTCAACACAAATATATACATGATCGTAATGGCAAAATTCTCTTAAAGGGGGGGGGGGGGAAGAGGCCACGGGAGGGGTTACCCATGACTTATGGCTAAATTACAGTACTATGGTTACTATAAAGAAGGGGGGGGGGGAGGAAAGGGAACTATATCAAGAGAGTGCCAAGTTGTCACATTACATATTACTTTGAAAGATATCAGGATAGGGATTTGGGATGGGACAGGGGAAAGGGAAAATGCCCAACCACTTGGACAATCGGGAATTGAACGCCGACGTGCATGAATCAATACTGTCAGCCTACCGTCCATCCCCAAGTATTCAAATCCACCCCAGATTTGAATCCTGTGTTTCCTCTCCTCAAAATGCATCCCTAGTGTACAAGCAATTAACTCCTTGGGAATAAATACAATTTGAGTGCATAACATGCTTGCTTCATAAAGTTTGTTGAAGCTTACCAATAAATTGTGTACGCTTCAGCCTGAGCAGGGTCCTTTATGTTGGGGTCATTGAGCAGGTCCTGTATTCCCAATAGAATCTGTTTGATGGTAATGGCTGGCCTCCAATCCTTCTCCTCGTCTAATAGTGACAAGCACACAGTTCCTACGAAGATCAAATTATTGTATACACATGGTTTTATAACATTTACACATTTAACAGACTAAATTGTGACAGGATAAACAACCCAACTACCATAGTGTACTGAATGATCATTTACAGATTGGTACCTGGGCTATTTATTCCATGACAAAATCAAGTGAAAATGACACCACCCTTCTTTCAACTCTCCTACAAGGTGGTTTACAACTACCCAAAAATCAAAGTTTCAGATAAATGCAACTTATGGTTCTAAGTTATGGTTATTTTGGGGGGTTCCCATTTTTCAAACTAGTTATTTTGGACCCTAATCAAGCTAAAAAATGATTCTAAACACATTCAATAGGTAATCTTTCAAATATTAAGTTGATGAGGAACACTTAAACCTTCAGATTAATTTGCTATATTCAACCATCCCCCCCCAAAGGTATATCAATTTGTTCAAAATTAATTGGAAAGTCTCTTGCAGATTATAGCCATACAATATGTTATGTCCCAAATTGGCAATGAATACCACTCATTTATGTTAAAAGGTTCATAATACTATGTACTTTTGATCCTCCATGGAGTTTAATAAAGTAATACTTGAATCCTACAATACAGAAAACCTACATATAATAAAGCCTTCAATATACCAACACCACTGTGCTAGAGCACATTGGTAAATACTCCTTTTGCTTGACCTAAAACATCTCACTGCCAAGATATAATTACCAAGAAACAACCATATTACCTTATATGTATTGTTCACAATTTTAAGCAATAAAACTAAATTTGGCTAAAATTTAATTGAAACAAGGAAATCCCAAAACACTGGGTAACATACCTGATGGGTAAACATTGGGATGAAACAAGGGTGGCTCAAACTTGCACTTTGGTGGTGTGGATGGATAGTCATCCTTGAAGATCATGCGTAGACGATACAGACCACTCTCCCAAGGCGTCTTTTGTAAAGGATTGAAATTTGTCAATGACTTAATTATTAAAAAGTGTCTAAGTTTTACAGCATCAACCATTTTTTCATGTCCTATAAATTCTGGCAATCATGCCATTGTCTGACATTTTATACCAACATTTCTTCAATACACAAATTTAGGTTCAAAATCAAAGCACTTCATTGAGTACCTTGCTTTAAAAGTCTAGTATCAAGTCAAACAAGGCAGAGAAGGTTCAGATGTATACCACCAGACTAGTACCACAGCCGAGAGATACGAGCTACAAAAAAAGACTACTAAAATTAATCACTAGAAGACAAAAGAGCTAGGAGAGCCATGATTACCACCTACGAAATTCTCGCGGAAATTGAATGGGGAAAGAGACGATTTCAGGGCTTAGTGGCCTCGTGGCCCGGTCCTCGACTAGGCCTCCTTTTTGATACACATCCCCAGGAAGTAGCCTGTAGCAGGTGTCTAACTACCAGGTACCTATTTACTGCTAGGTAACAGGGGAATCAGGGTGAAAGATACTGCCCATTTGTTTCCGCCTCCACCGGGGATTGAACGTGGAACCTCAGGACTACGAATCCAAAGCACTGTCCACTCAGCTGTCAGGCCCCATAATTTGTCAGGATGACAAATTATTTAGCACAGGTGGTACACAAACAAGGATATGGGTGGAAACTTTGTACCCAAATGAGCCATAGACACTAGAAAATTGTGTGTCAGTAATTAACCAATGGAATGCACTAGGAAGTTATATGGTGGAACCAGACTCCATACACAGTTTTAAATGGAGACATAAGAGCCCAATAGGCTCAGGGAACAGTTCACTAGTTAATTGATTCAAAGGTGGGTCCAAAGAGATGAATTTCAACCCCTGCAAGCACAACTAGGCAGATTTGGGCAAGACTATGAAAGTGGAGGATGCTACTAGTCAGATAAACTAAAATACAACATCCTTGTGACAAAAAAAAAAAAAAAAGTTAAAACTGAAAAGCTTTCACAACCTTGATAAACATCTACATCAGTCAAAACCAAGTTTATCAAATACAGTACCTGTTGAGTACTATAATTTTTCAAGTTACACAATATTTCCAATTAAGCTACTAACACATTTAGTTTAAAGTCAAATATGTAAAGAATTAAAGTTCTTCAGTTCAAACGTCAACCGTACAACATAAAACAAGAGAGTCTAGCATTCCAATGTGATTGATCAGGAAATATTTTTACTTCATGAAAGCTTAGTGAATGTTTGTTCTTCAATTTTATTATTTTTTTTATGAAATGGTTAAAACAAAAGACGTGATTCTGTCGTGAACCAGTTATACATAAAGCTATAAGCTATAATAAAATAATTAGTGAATGAAGGAGCCGGTCGGCCGAGCGGACAGCACGCGGGACTTGTGATCCTGTGGTCCTGGGTTCGATCCCGGGCGCCGGCGAGGAACAATGGGCAGAGTTTCTTTCACCCTATGCCCCTGTTACCTAGCAGTAAATAGGTACCTGGGTGTTAGTCAGCTGTCACGGGCTGCTTCCTGGGGGTGGAGGCCTGGTCGAAGACCGGGCCGCGGGGACACTAAAGCCCCGAAATCATCTCAAGATAATCTCAAGAAGATGAAATCTTCGGTCAACTTCTCTCCATGCAAGTTTTGGGTGCTCATCCAGCTGAGCAGGATTAGTGAGCAGTTTCCTTATGAAAACTAATCAATTTAAAGAAGGGTTAAAAGAAAGCGAGAGAGAGAAAGATTATGTATAGCCAATATATATAAAATACTTACTCCCTTCTTCCCTGGAATTGCACATTCCCAATTCATTAGGTTTAATGTTCCCTCGGGATTCTTTGTAGGTCGTGCAATGAAGCCCTGGAATGCAAGACGTCATTTAATAAAATAAATGTACAGTACATACTAGTTCATACTCCACATCTATAACAGGAACATCCAAAAGGCAGATAAAGAAATTTTGTACTGCCCTCCAAAATTATCTTTTGCTTAAAAAATAAGAACATGCCGTTATTTATGTCTGCAAGGCATAATAATGCTTTTATAGAACTTAATTTATAATTTACAACTAGCTTTAAAAAGAGAGAAATGGTCACTATAAATAATGCTCAATGTGAACAATTTCTCCAGTAGCATTTTTAAAGGCTCTTGTAAAAGGTTACAACAAGAGGAATTGGGGCTGCAGGAAAGCAATTAAACATGATTAAATCAAATTCTATTAGGTTTTATTTGGTTCACCATTCATAAAACTTCCTTTAAAAAATTGCTTAGTAGCTAGGATGTGGGACAATCCAAGTACGGTACTTGTATGTGTGAAAATGCCAAATAACTAGATCCATCAATACACATTGAATTGGGTTTAAGTTAAAATTTTACTTAATACAGTATTGAATATTTTGGCTAAAAATTTAGGTTAAAAAGAAGCAACCAAAATGTTTATTACCATTTGTATGTGTAAAATTTATTATTTATATTTGTATAAAAATATAGCAAGCTTCAAAATGCAACAACTATTTGCTGTTGAATGAATCTGGTGTAAATCAGTTTGATCGAACAGTACAGTAATAGGCAATTAATTCCCCCCCCCCATCTTCATGACCCCACTTTTCCTGTCTAAATATAATCTCTTGGGTGCACTACAGTTTTATAATACAATTAAAAATGCTACTTACAAACGGATGGTCTTTTCTCCATGCCTTTCTCTCCTCGGCAAGTCGAGCAATTGCAATTCCAGACATTATATCAAATCTGCAATACAAGTAAATTATAAATGTATAGTAGTAAAATCCCTAAATGCTGCTCATTTCACAACTCTTTGTATAACACCTTCCTTAATCATATCCCTAAAAGTGTGTGCACATCTTTACTCATTCCCTGTACCTTCCTTCCTTCACAAACCAAACATGCCAAAATCCAATCACTGCAGCCATTAATTAGGTAATTATCAGGAGAAATCACTATGCCATTATGACTATAGCACTTGCAAGGGATATAATAAGGATTTCAGAGGACAGGAAAAGAATGGTGACTAACTGTCAGGGATTGAATGCCAACCTGTCACACTACTGCCCAGTCAAAGTGGTTGGGCAAAATTAATTCTTATCAATAACCCTTAACTAAGGATAACTAGAGTGACTTCTAAAACTGGAGTAAATTACAAAGATTTACTGTATCTCTAGCCACCCAACTCCAAGGCAAAATTTGCAAGTGTCCGGCAGCTCACTCAGTTTTATAACCACTTTCACTAAGGTCTAAGAAATTGGTCCTGATGCCTCTGCATCAGGACCTCATCTCATACTTGTGGTGGTTATTTATTCACTGCCCTTGTACAGCCTATGCTCAGTGGACATGTTTACAACTTTTGAAGGTAATTTACTTATAGATGTATTGTAGGTACAAATCTAAGGAAACTTCACTAATCAATACAAGTTCAGAAAGAAGTTAGGTTTATTATATTTCTCAAACGCAGGCATCGAGTCACAATAACGTGGCTGAAGTAGTTTGACCATACTACACACTAGAAGGTGAAGGGACGAGTGTGGTCTGGTCAAACATATTTCTCAAGCATTTTCTAGGCTAGATAAACTACAAATAAAAAGTTTACATCAAATATCCTCCTGATTAGACACTTGGGAAAAATAATTTTTTTCCACAAATCTAGAACACTTGTGTTAATCCAATAAAATAGATGTTTGGTGCTACGTGTCTGGTATTATGTCAATTTTGAAATTTCCGTGCACCTCCAACCTAATGCCCATTGGCTAACAGCATTCTCCAGCTATTGTTTGTTTTCTCAAAGTCCCTACAATCGGAGACTTGGTTGGGGACCACCAATAGATTGGTATAAAATACAGTGAACTACAGGACACATGCCTTGAGTTATAATAACTGTGGAAAGCTGTACCCCCAATTAATTTACATTACAGCTGAAGCACAAATATATAGCCACAATGGGAACAGGGGAAACTTAAAGAGAAATGGAAATGCCAAAAATATATGGATGACAGAAAATCAGTTTGCAAACACCAGCTCTGAAGTACAAATCTGCAAATATGTTACAGGGATGTGCACATTCATTTGCAAATATGCATTTGCACAAAGAACCAAAATGTAGTTTCAGGCATACAAGGAACAAGACTGGATTACAAGTCTAACAATCATGCATCTAACGCACACATACTATGCCTCAATATGGTAGAAACTACCTCTCAACACATTTACTAACACCAAAAATAGGATGGATCAAATTACTGTACAATAATTTCAAAACTACAACACACCTTGAATCAGGATGGTAATATAATTTTCTAAACCTCCCAGAAATGACTTAAGTTCTAAACATTTGACAACATGTAAGGTTTAAAGAAAAAAAAATCCTTTATCTCTTAACATTTATTTCTGATGTCTGGGGGAGGAGTGGGGAAGCTGATAACTTTAGTTAGCTGTAGCAAGGCGTTGAAAACGACAAAATCCCAGAACACTAACATGTTAATTAGCACTTTAGTGTTCCAATGGTGCATCAGTCTTGAAATTTAAATTTTTTTCCATTATCAGTATTTTTTTTAGCAGTGCTTAACAGCTTATCAGGGGACCATCCAGAAATCACATCAGCCAACTAACTACTTGCCACTCAAAACATTAATTACAGACTGCAAATATTGTATCTTCATTTTTGGGAAATTACCTGCTGGAAAAGTATGAAAGTCGTGTTCATTTTCTTTTCACTGATTTATGTTGATAATGTGCAAGTTTCCATATTTTTTTTTTTTTTTTACTAGGAGGGGTACCCAAACAGTGTCCAGGATGCGTCTCCCCTCCCCCCAACACTTTCTTCCCCCCCAACCCCTCACATTTTGCCTCCCTCCGCCTCACTCCTTTCCCACCCCGTCATCTTACCCTACAACCTTGAACAGATATTTCTATTTGTATACTGTATATATAGAATGCATTTACCCAAGTGCATCTGGATCCCCCTCACCATGACCCCTCCCTTTCTATCCCCTTGGTTCCCCAATTTGTCCTCCCCCCTCTTTGCTTCCCACTTTCCAGAGTCCATCTCGAAGATATTGTCGTCAGAATAGTAGTATTCGTTCAACTCGCATTCAGGAATTTGGGGTTCGAATCCTGGGTGTGACAAATGACTGAAGTGTTTCTTATCACCTACTCCCCTGTTCACCTAGCAGTTAATATAGGTTACTACCTGGGTAGGTACCCTGGAGTTAGCTTATTGTAGAGTTGCAACCTTGGGGAAAGACCTTGAAATAGGCCTGACATGTATATATATATATACATTGGCTATCTGTCCCAACAAAATTAATTATTACAGTATTATTATTATTAATTATTATATATGAACTATATATGCATGCCTTTCAGCATAAACAGCTTCCCAAGTTTGTTTCTGTTCCACAGACTTCTTTTCTATTGAAGATGCATTCCTTTCAGCATCAAGAGCTTGCCAAGCTTGTGTCTGTTCCATAGACTCCCTGTCTACTGAAGATGCACGCCTATCAGCATCATCAGCTTGCTGAGAATGTGTGTGTTCCACAGACTCGCAGTCTCTTGAAGATGCATGCCTTTCAGCATCAAGTGCTTGCTGAGCCTTCCTTAACTCGGCACGCTTCTGCGCTCTTTTCGCCTTCTTTCGACGGCTTGCCAAGGAGTCGCGGCTCAAAGATGATTTCTTCCTGGGACCCATGCCTCAACTGATAGTTGTAAACTACTGTATCTGAAAACCCAAAAACCCATTACAAAACGAGTTGTGAATATCAACATCAATATATACCCTCACTCCACTATTTCTCCCACCCACCCCAACCTATGTACAGTACTCTCTTTTTCAACAAAAGCTCTTTACAAAATGAGTTTTGAACATGAATATTCAAATATACTTCTGTTCTCCCATTTCCATCCTTCCCCGGCCCATTTCTTGGCCTAACATTGGCCAGTGGGAGAAGTTTAGCAGTATGAAATATTAATACAGAAGTTACCATTTACAGTACTGTACTTGAGAAATTTTTTCTATAACTCCACCCCCCCCCCAGGAAGCAGCCCATAATACCTCAACTCCCAGGTACCTATTTACTGCTAGGTAACAAGTGCATCAGGGTGGAAGAAACTTTGCCCCATTGTTGTTTCTGCCGGCGCCAGAAATCGAACCCCAGGACAACGTATCCAGCACTAGTCCACTAAGCCACAAGCACCCTAATTGCCTTAAGTGTAGTTGGCAAGTAGCGCCTACACACTTTCATGAGAGGTAAACATGACCCTGGTTATCTTGAGGTTATCTCGAGATGATTTTGAGGCTTAGCGTCCCCACGGCCTGGTTCTCGACCACGGCCTCCTTTTTATTACACATTCCCCAGGAAGCAGCCCATAGCAGCTGTAACTCCCAGGTACCTATTTACTGCTAGGTGAACAGAGCATCAGGGTGAAACTGCCCATTTTGTTTCAGCCTCTGCTGGGATCGAACCGGGAACCTTAGCACTACAAATCCCAAGAGCTGTCGACTGAGTGGACAGCCGAGTGGCTATTCCTGGTAGGCTGTTCGTTTTAATTCGACAACCCCAACCAACCATGTTTAGCCTGTACTCCAGACCATCCCTTTTCAAATTTGGTGGAGGCCCAAAATATCTGGCCTCCAACTTGGGACACACAAGTTGCTCGACCCCACACGTCACAGAAGAGCTGAAAGATTATTTCATTATCTGTCTGGTTGTGGGGAGTAGCAATCTACTACCTTCAACCTACCATTCATTCATAAATACCCCACCCCCCACCCACTGGTACTAGGGAATATTACAGATTAGAGTAACAAGTGATGCCCTAGGTATTTTAGCCTCTGGGCTGTGCATCTGTTTTAATAGTTAACCCCCCCCCCCCTTTCTAAACATGAAATAAATTCCAAAATGTTTGTCCTTCCTATATTATTAAAATGATCATGGAAAAAATACAAAATTATATGACTTACTTTGGCCATGGTGAAGCATGGAAGTTCTATGATTCCAAAGTGTTCATCGAGGAATTTCTCCGGCTGGGGTGGTCACCCCCAGCCAGCCATTAGATAGGAGTTGCAGTGAAGATTTTTTTACATACTGTATTCCAATTTCTCCAACTAGTTTTTACTCCGGTGTTTTGAAGTATTATTCAATACCGTGTCTTGAGAAATTTATATATAATAAAATGTATGGAACATTGGAATGCTCAGATACATTCATGTCACTAAGACACTCGGTATATTTGATTAGAATAAAACATTGCCTTTGTTATTATAATGTACACACATTTCATATACAGAATACTAAAAAATATGGTGCACATATTGGTGACAACATTCTTAGAAAAATGCTGTGCCTTTGCCATTATTATGGCATATACATATAATGTATATACAGTATTTATGGCATATACATATAATGTATATACAGTATAACTATCTACATTTGTGCACACCATAAACCAATATGCTGGTCATCATGGGCCTTCACACAGCACAGCATCAACACTAGTGAACTGACGACACCTGACTAAATACTCTAAAGACAGGCGTGTGAAACCGAAGGTTCCCCCAAGAGTCATATGGGTCACATTTGTGTTAACATGAGGGCCACATACCACAACTAATGTAAGTCATTTAAATATTATTGCAAAATTATTTTTTCTATTATAATATATACCAAATTACAGTATCCTTTGTGCGGGCCGCATGTGCGCTTGCAAAAGGCCACATGTTTGATATGCCTGCATCTAATGCCTCAAATACAACACTCCTATTGCTAACTAAGCAGAATGTTGCCATTATCAGCATCCTGGTTACCAAATTCTGAAATTTTGCCCAAATTAACTTTCTAAAAGGAGTATAATGTTTTCCGGTGCATAGAGGCACCGAATTATGGTAGGGTGCTGTGGCTGTGTAAACTACATTGTGTTCATCGATACCCCGACTGTGATAATGACAATGTACGCAAGTAACACAGCCAGGACCGTCTATGATACCATTATCGTAAAATAAGTTGGCATACACCCATTAAATTATTTTCCAATATTTCCAGACCTATTCAGCAAGCCTAGTAATACTGTAGTATAGAAATACTGTATACTATATAGGGAATACCTATATAATTAAGTATATATATACTTTTGTATATATTTTGAAAGATTGTGTATATATACTCGCAGGCTTCTTCCGAGTAATGGATATTAAAATTATACCATTAGCTAATAAAACTTTTACCCAGCCTAAATCATTTCATTAACCCATCTGGCAGGTTAATAAAACCAAAAAACATTAGCATTTGCTGCAACCTAATTGAGAATTAAGTTACCAGTTAGCGCAGTTTACAGATTAACACCACATGCGTCTCCAATAGACCCTGGACTACTTCATGCTCCAATAGGTTGGTTTCCTTTGTTTGATAAGGAAAAGTTGCACAATAATGAACAGCTAAATGTTAATAGATATAAACAGAAAAAAAATCGTTCATTTAACAAAATTTACTCATAGTCTTGTAGTTACTTAAATTACCGGAGTCTTATGGTATAATATTGTTCAGGGACGGGTCCTCCAGCGTCATAGAAGCTGCCTCTGCTAAATGTCACAAAGATTTTCACTTTTACACCGTTCTCTGCCCTAGTTAACCGTGAAACAGTAGTGCGCATCAGACCAAACTCTCCTCACCTCCTCAGGAGCCAGTCCCGGGTATAGCAATTCCTCCCAGCCCCAAGAAACTACCAAGAATAACACAAGATATAACCGAGAAGGATTTCTGGAGGGGTGAGGGCGGAGACCTGTATAATGGCCGGGGACACCAGCTCTTGGCAGCCTGTCCCGTCTCTCTCTCTCTCTCCTCTTCCACTGGCCTCCCTTCACACATTCCCACCCGAGGGCGACCTGCCTGCTCCAGGAGCACCGCAGGAACCGAGCTGCTACTTACCAGCGTGAGAGACGCACTCGAAGACAGGGGGAGCCACACAGGAGCGAGGAGGACGGCCAACTGCTGGTCTCGCCGGGTCTCGTCCTCTGCGGGCTAACCAACCCGCCAAATTTGAACTTGACGCCATCAAAACATATATTCAAAATTCAAATGTTTATTTAGGTAAAATACATACATACAAGGGGTGATACAAAAATTTATGCATTTATAGATAGAGCTAGTACATACAATGCCTAAAGCCACTATTACGCAAAGCGTTTCGGGCAGGAAAAAAACCTTATATACCTTTTATTAAATGCACTATTTAAAAAAATAACAATTAATAATTAATAATCAGTTCAATTGATAAATTATCATACTGTTACAGGATGCATTTGACTGTTTATGGTTAGCTATAAGTATAGGTTTCTGAGGTCGATCGCCTTCCCATAGATGTACAGTAGCTTGCACGTGTCTTTTTTTCACGTTGTTGTGCTTCTAGTCGACGATGGTAAGACCAACTTCAATTTAACTGTGAATAGACTGTAAGGAGGAGTCTGATGGATCCCGGGTTCGATTCCCGGACATAAGAGAAATAATTAGGCATGTTTCCTGTCACCTAATTGGTTAGGCTAGGATAGGTTACGATGGGTTACTATGATTTACTTTAAAAAAAAGGTAGCGATGATGTATATATATACATCGGAGAATAATATATTCCTCTTTCTTTTTTTTTTAAACTAGGACTAGGGTTCACAAGGGTTGTCAAATGACGTACCAAGTGAAACTGCAAGCAAAAGCTGTTATCCTACCTCAGCTCATCTGAAGCCCGCTCCTAGTAACTCATTTATTTCATGAGAATGTACTTTGAAACTATCACATAGGGAACTATCATTTCGGGCAACTATCATTGTCCAAAACGTTGCGAGTATTAGTGGCTTTAACTCATCTTTTCTTTTTCTTTTTTTACGTGTCTTACAGTCCCCGTGGTGTAGTGGTTAAGACGCTGGCCTGTTGTTTCGCGAGCGCTTTGTCCTGGGTTCGTATCCTGGCCGGGGAGGATTTACCGGGCGCAAATCCTTAACTGTAGCCTTTGTTTAACAGTAAAATGGGTACCTGGTTGTTAAACGATTTTTTCGCGGGGTCGTATTCCAGGGAATATAGGATAAGGACTTGCCCAAACGCTACGCGTACTAGTTAGTGGCTGTACAAGAATGTATGAACTCCTGTATATATAAATAAATAAATAAAATAAATAAATAAATCTTGTAACTCATCTTCCATATAATGTACTTTTACCTGGATAAACATTTTGATTTTGTTGAAAATGAACTACCATATAAGGAACATTTGTGTTTTGTTAAATATTTAAAGGTTACAAGATGTACATTGGTTAATACAATGAGTGTTTAAAGGTTCTGGACCTCTTGGAGGTTCTCAGCTTCAGGACAGGAACCCAGGACACAGCAGGCGTTTCCCTTCTGGATCGCCACACTGAGGTGCTGAAACACGAACTGGCAGCCCTTACATCTCTGGTGATGTAAATGAGTCTCTAGATAGATATATAGAGCCGTGTGAGCATTCACACAGAACAAATAGGTGAGTACCTGAAAAAATGCCTGATTTTATTCACCTGACAAATGATCTTACTTTATGTGAATAAAGTAACGAATTTATTTCATCCAGCACCTGATACGCTGTCTCATTTCCTAAAGCACCTGATACACTACCTTTCTTTCTCCTGCACTTCACTGGAAGCAAACTAATTTTTTTTTTTTCTGCACCTGATAACCCATCTCACTTATTTCAAGAACAAACCCTCCTTACTTTCTCCTGCTCCTGACAAATCATTATACTTTCTTATTCATCCCTCAATCTACCTTCTTCACCTGTCAAACCATCTTCTTCACCTGTCAACCCATCTTCTTCACCCGTCAAACCACTTTTTCTTCATCTCATAATCTTTTCTTCATCTCATAAACGACTTTCTTCTTACCTAACAATCTTTCTCTTCGGTGTTTGCCAAAGCACTTTCCTTCTTTGTCTAACAAACCTTCTTAATATCTTACGGTTCCAAGTGTGGGACACAAGCCTAGATTTCCTCATTCAGCTCACCACCTAAGGTCAATAAAATAATTCTAACCAAAAAAATCCTTGTAATTTGTTTTATTTTTGTAGGTAACATGCTCATACGAAAAGGAAGGGCAATATAAGGATGCATCTTCAGGAAGAATGGGATGTGAAAGAGCATGGGGCAGACTGAACATGGTATGATGGTTAACTGAACTAAACTTGACGTTGTAATTAAAGATGACAAACAGTCTGTGACTATATGTTTGGGTTGCCCCGCCGTCTGTTTGGGAACAGTTTGGTTATAAAGGTACTCCATTCTATTTGAGGACACTTTTGGCTTATCTGTTGTACACACGTTATGGCACGAACCTTAACACAATTACTTAATAACTAATGAAATTACTAAGACATTTGTTGCATACTTCATTGATGTATTTCCGGAGTTTACTGGACATTAATGATGTTCCAGTCATGAATAAGTTTCAACCCCCAAAACGCTATGCGTGCCAGTGACTTTGCAAGAATGCAAAAATACCAATTTTATTTAATCTCACAAACCCATTGTACCTTCTTGTAAACAAAAGAATAAAACATAAATAACTAACCTTTATTATAAATAAATAATAATTTATTTAAATAAATAAATATACTGACTAAGAGACGTCCGAATGACGTTATTATATGATCGTGAACTCAAACAAGTAGGAACAAATTAAGGAGCTAATATCAAGGCATTCTGTGTAGCACACATCTAAAGGTATCAACGGGTTCAAGTCCTCCAAAGGGATGATGGTTTAATACACCATTTAAAGGTAATTATATAACTAAACTACTTCTGTCTATGCTCGAGAATACACGCGTTTGAGGTCTAGCAAGATATGCAGAGTTAGTTTTAATGCTAAAAAGTTTCTCTCGTAGTCACCGCTGTACAAGCTCTTCAGAGCATGCATAGTTACTCTAATGTAGACTCGCTTGTGTGGAAGGTCACTGGCAGTGCTCTCGTCACTCTCCTTGAGGTACCAAGGTCACTGGCAGTACCCTGTCACTCTCCCTGAGGTACCAAGGTCACTGGCAGTGCCCTGTTACTCTCTCTGAGGTACTAAGGTCACTGGCAGTGCCATCGTCACTCTCCCTGAGGTACCAAGGTCACTGGCAGTACCCTCGTCACTCTCCCTGAGGTACCAAGGTCACTGGCAGTGCCCTTGTCACTCTCCCTGAGGTACGAAGGTCACTGACAGTGCCCTCGTCACTCACTGAGGTACTAAGGTCACTGACAGTGCCCTTGTCACTCCCTGGGGGTACCAAGGTCACTGGCTGTGCCCTGTCACTCTCCCTGGGGTACCAAGGTCACTCACAGCTACAGTTACTTGTACGTATCTTTAACAGTAACGCACAAAGTTAATATATAAAAGAATAACTTCCGTGTTCCTTAATTTATTATAAAATATTCCCATGTTGACTCAATAGTGTTTATAATATCGAAGTTGACCACAGTACTCGTCAATAGCGTAATTTTATAGAAATACTTTAGTTATAGTTAAACTTAAATTCTTGTAAGAGAAAACTCCTCCATTTGTTGGGGAAACTGTTTAAAACATTACAGTATTTTCATGCTGAAATGCCGGGAAACTATTTAATTGTTAAAAAAGAGTCAATAAAGGTTTAATTTACGATTAAGTACTATCAAGTAAAACTACACGTAAGTTAATATGAAGTTAACTTACTACATATTGTAGTATGTATGTAGCCTGAAACGTACATATAGGTACGGGTGAATGAGTGCGTGTGTATATATTAACTATTTGTATATATTATTTGTGCCTGCAGGATCCAGCTGTTAGCTCTTGGATCCCGCCTTTCTAACCGTAGTTTGTCTAATGTAATAAATCCAGACTTATTTTTCCTGTATCATATTTGTCTCTCTCTCACACACACATGAGATTAACTACCAGCTACCTATTTACTGCTAGGTGAACAGAGGCATCAGGTGAAAGAAACTCTGCCCATTTGTTTTTGCCTCGACCGGGAATCGAACCCGGGCCCCTGGACTACGACCCCAGAGCGCTGTCCGTTTGGCTGCAAGGACCTGTGTACTCACCTAGTCTGTGTGTGTGTGTGTGTGTGTGTGTAATACTGACTCCGGCATACAAGATAACTTGACAATGCATGCGTCGGCTCTGTCAACATTCGGTAAAGCCGTCGGTTTAAAGTTCAGCAGTGGGGGCAGATTCACGAAGCAGTTACGCAAGTACTTATCGAACGTGTACATCTTTCCTCAATCTTTGACGGCTTTGGTTACATTTATTAAACAATTTACAAGCATGAAAACTTGCCAATCAACTGTTGTTATTGTTATAAACAGCCTCCTGGTGCTTCGGAGCTCATGAGCTGTTTAATAATTGTAAACAAAGCCGCCAAAGATTGGGAAAAGCTGGACAGATTCGTAAGTGCTTGCGAAACTGTTTCGTGAATCTGGAACTTCATAATCATTGGCACTAATTTTTCTTTTTTCACTTTACATACACAGAATTCTGTTTTAAATCTGATCCTTAATCCTGATCCAACGAAGCTTATTATCTAATTATGGAATCTAATTATATCTGATATTGTATCTTCGCTTTGATTGGCGAGTATCTTAGTACGTCACATCTTTTTTCGGTTTATTTTTTAATTCTTGATTTTCATGTATATATTTTCATCTTCCTGTTAAATTTGATTTTGGCACGTTATCGATATTATATTTTGACGCAACCCATTTTCTTTCACTAGCTCTTCATCGGTTCCTCATCATTTAATTGATGATTTCCACGTTATTCATCCACCAGGTCCTCGGTTTACCTCCGCCATATTTGTTATCCTTCCAACAGGTCATTTTGTTATCAATTGTTATCCTCGGTGGCTCCATCCTGCAGCAGGTCAGGTCGTGATGCTCCGGCGGGCGTCTACTCGAAGGACTTCATATCAAACACCTGCCAGCGAGGCTCTCCACTCTCGTCGTAGTCGTACTCCTGGCACGCCTGGGTCAACAGGCTGTGGGAGAGAGAGAGAGAGGTGTTAGGAGACTGTGGGAGAGAGAGAGAGGTGTTAGGAGACTGTGGGAGAGAGAGAGAGGTGTTAGGAGACTGTGGGAGAGAGACAGAGGGGGAGGTGTTAGGAGGCTGTGGGAGACAGAGGGGGAGGTGTTAGGAGGCTGTGCTGGAGAGGATGGGCAGTTAAGATGTTGTGGGGAAGATGCCAGGCTGTAGAGTAAGAACTGTGAGACTGAGGAACAGGATGGACAGTTGTGACGGTATGGGAGGCAGGCTGGACACCCTGGCTGGGTAGGCCGACAGGCTATATAACGGGTAAGGAACAGAAGTTCTGCGAAATGTTAAAAAACACGTATTTTTTTAATTAACTCTTCCCCGCGGCACCAGGAGCCACAGTCACCACTGGTCATCACAATACCAGGCGCCACAGTCACCAGAGATGAGAATAGCTATTGGAAGCTCGACTCTGTTACCTAACTCAAACTAAGGTAACGTTAAAGTGGCTAAGGTAAGGAAAGCACGTTAAAATGAGGAGGGTGAGGCATGACAGTGTGTAGTGAGGAATGTGAGGCATGACAGGGCGTAGTGAGGAAGGTGAGGCATGACAGGGCGTAGTGAGGAAGGTGAGGCATGACAGGGGTGTAGTGAGGAAAGTAATGTGTAACAAGATACTCGAAGGGAAGGCAAGAAATCTTGATGTAAGGTAAGGTAAGGAACGGGGGTGGGTGAAGGTAGCCATCAGGTCAAAGGAAGACTTACCCTGCCCACTGCTTGCACCCCCTGACGGGCCTGGCGAGGCGGTAGCACTGGAAGAGCCCCGTCGAGAAGTACGCCGACCCCACCTCCTTGGCTTCGCCGCTACCCACACTCCTCAGACACTTCCGGAAGCTCTCGTTGCAGTCGCAGTGCGTCCTGCATCCCCCGCGGCCATGTAGGGGAGACACAGAGAGTTAAGCAGAAAGTTAAGTCACAATAACGTGGCTGAAGTATGTTGACCAGACTACACACTAGAAGGTGAAGGGACGACGACGTTTCGGTCCGTCCTGGATTATTCTCAAGTCGATCGAATCGACATTAGAATGGTCCAGGACGGACCGAAACGTCGTCCCTTCACTTTCTAGTGTGTGGTCTGGTCAACAAAAGTTAAACTCTGCCTCAGCAAATTACCTGAGGCAAACCTCTAAGCCAGTACGACTATATAGCACTTAGAAATGATATTAGGACTGTCTTAGAGATATGACTGAGTAAAAGAGCGATGCTTGCAATGCCGTCCACCTGCACGTGAGCGGGACTTAAGCAATATATCGGCCGTAAGTGTCTAGCATTAATACAAGATAGTGACGTTGTGATCATGCCTTCCCAACAACCACATGATATAATCAACATGCTAGTATTCCAGTCAATATATTACAATAAGCCGTATTAGCGGCTTTATTACATGTACGTACTCTGTACCAACCAATTTAAAAGTATCATGATCTTCTGTATATTGTCTAAGTTGTTATTATTTCATTCATCTGGGCTCTTGAAGACTCGAACCGTGGACCCCACTAGCGTGTGAGGCCGAGGCTCTATCATCTGGGCTATGAGTAAACTTAATAAGGAAAAGAGCCCAGGTGAATGGATTGTTTATTTCCACGGAAGTATGGATGACAATTTATTATTATTGTTATTATTTTAGATACAAACCCATACTTGTATATATGTGAAATTTATGTAAGGGATTTACACCACGTCTTTCGTACTATCGTTAGTGCTTTGTCAAGGTCTGAATGTGTGGTGAGGACGAGACTTGCATCTCAACTCCAGGTCCCAGCATAGCAGGATTTCAGAAAGAACACATGACTATATTTCCGTAGAAGACATTACCGCAGTCGGGCTTAGAGGGGACATGACCATAAGGTCAAGATGGATAAGAGGATTGAACCTAGGATAGCAGCCTCATTATCCGTTGAGATGTAAGTCTGGTCCTAATCAAACACTCAGACCTTGATAAAGCACTCAGGAGGGTGCGTAAGACTTGGTGTAAAGTCGCCGGGTTCTTGTCCTCATCGAGGCCAGTAGGAAGATGGTGGCCCTCGGGTATAAATACCACCCATATGATGTCTTCCAGCTTACATGGTGAAGGGGGAGTCATTGGAGATGTTGTGTCGTGTCTGGCCTGGCTCCAGGTCGTCTGGGCAGAGGTCGTGGTCGCGGCAGCAGGCGTCCACCTCCCGCAGGGGCCCCAGGTCGTCCAGGCCCTCTGCCACGTTACCTGTCCCGCACCACTTTGTTCCTGGGGACGCCACAAGGTGTTAGTGAGGGCGGGAAGGTGTTAGCGGGGGCGGGAAGGTGTTAGCGGGGGCGGGAAGGTGTTAGTGAAGGCGGGCGAGGGAGGGGTTGACGCGTCTTGGGATGGCAGGAACTAGACACATCGAGCGTCACATTGTTATTGGTGAGTGTTGAAGATGTGTCGTATCCCTCAAGTGTCAATACTGAACCGCTCTCGGAATTAGACTGGTGATGATTGATTTATGAAAATTAAGCCACCATAAGAGGTGGCATGGGCATGAATAGCCCGTAATGTAATGATTAATTGATTGATAAAGATTAAGCCAACCCAAAGGTGACATCACACCTGTCACCATCAAACATATATATTCCAGCAATCTTATAACCATTATACTCCACAATTCCTGTATATTCACAAATCCGATTTTAAAAAGTAAATTTACACAAAAAGATTCATATCCAAATATGAACAAACAAATATTCATTTTAATTCAATTCTGATAGCAAGCGCTGGACCTGAAATCTGAAGCAATAGTTAGCCCTTAATTTTAAGCTTTCTTTTCTTGTTATGTCTAGAGAAAATGGAATATAAACACAAATCATGCCAGAAAAATATCAAATGTCTATTTGCCGAGACGTGATATTTCCGAGCAAACCCAACGTGTACATCATTAGCTATGCTGATGATATAATGATACACACCACTGGGTATGCTGATGATATAATGATACACACCACTGGGTATGCTAACACGCAGCAGAACACTCTGTATTAGACTCATGTCAGGACCTAGGTTTAGTCATCTCAGCAGACAAACAGATACTAAATCGTCATCCCTTCAGGCAGAGAGAAGCTGTTCGCAAGATGCAACTGTCTGATGGCTCCCAGCTTGACTATGTAAACAGATTCAAATACCTTGGCCTCGAGGCACCGCTCCTGTGCCAGGTAAGTCCACTACGGGCTCACCATAGCCCGTGCTACTTGCCCCGCTCCTGTGCCAGGTAAGTCCTCTACGGGCTCACCATAGCCCGTGCTACTTGCCCCGCTCCTGTGCCAGGTAAGTCCACTACGGGCTCACCATAGCCCGTGCTACTTGCCCCGCTCCTGTGCCAGGTAAGTCCACTACGGGCTCACCATAGCCCGTGCTACTTGCCCCGCTCCTGTGCCAGGTAAGTCCACTACGGGCTCACCATAGCCCGTGCTACTTGCCCCGCTCCTGTGCCAGGTAAGTCCACTACGGGCTCACCATAGCCCGTGCTACTTGGAACTTGTTCCGAGTAGCTGAATCTATAACAAAAACATGTATTGCTATTGCTCCTCACACTGAAATGTGTACAAGTCTCCAAACTTGATACATTAATTGTAAGTGACTTTATCATCCTTAAATGCTCTCAACTCTTTAAGACATAACTGTAACATGCTCGTGTCCGAAGCTAGACAAATACAACAAAATTATTAATGATAGTAACAGAGTCCATTGCATGTAGACTCCGTCTCATGTTGGCCTCCGAACGCATGATAGGGCTAAGTTAGCCAAAGAATCTTCCTTTATAGGAGAAAATGAGTATAACCTTGGATTGTCAATAAGCAGTCTGAGAGCAATAGTACACTAAGAACTTCAACAAAATCTTGTAGATCTGAGGCAAAGTGAAATCGACACCAGTAATTCCATCTATCATCATACTATCATGCAAGAGGAGCCACACATCTATGGATCTTCCAATAAAATCAGCAGACTTCTAGATGTTACTACTGCTCGGCTTAGACTCTGTTACAAGTATCTCTGGGAATTATCATTATCTGCTGATGTAGACCTGACCAAATGTAAACTGTCAACAAAATTATTCGCACACCCTCCGTCACTATGTGATGGAGTGCGAAAAGATATGTGAATTCAGAGACATTTCTATAACAAGTGTTCAAGTGATGTGTAACTATTTCATTCATAATGGTCTGCTACCAGAAATTTTAGCCAAATATCCCCAGTTTGCTAACTGTAGGTAGTAACTAAGAGTGATTGTAACCTATCCACCGCTGCCCACTGGATGGGGGGCGGTGTGCAGGACAAACATATCAATGGTGACACTAGCTCTCCACATATGTCAGTTGCCTAATATAGAAACTGTACTTGAGGTCGATCTCGAACCCATTGTTGATGTGACTATGTGCATTTAATTTTGTAACTAGCTCATCATGACTGTAACTTGCTTAGCTAAATGAATTGTGGGGTTCAGTCCCTGAGCCCATTATGTACCTCTGTAACCCTTTCCACTACCGCCCACAAGATGGGTATGGGGTGCATAATAAATGAACTAAACAAACGTGATATTTTCCTGAGGCCAAAATTCTTCTGATTAACGTCTCTTCGTGAATCATAACAAGATTGGTCTGTCTTTTTGCAGGTTATAAAATGTGTAAACATAATTACACTTAATTGTTTCTGTTGTACTTACAATACCTGACGCTAGTCTGGGTGTGTTCCTGTTTTACTGTTGCTGCTCCTGTTTACTGTTGCTGCTCCTGTTTACTGTTGCTGTTCCTGTTTACTGTTGCTGTTCCTGTTTACTGTTGCTCGTCAATTGACGTATGTTGGAGTCTTTGTGCTAACTAAATAACACATTAAATCTTCTTCAGATATATGATGTGTAAGAAGTTGTAAATTCTTATGTGGGTATATGGCTATAAGGACCTTATCAGCAGGGGAAAGATTTACTGGATTATTTACTTATTATATTACTTACCCGAAACGCTATGCATGCTAGTGGCTCTACAAGAATGTAAGAACTCTTATATATAAATACAAAAAAATTATGTGTGAATGTTGTTAGGGGAAGATAGGGAGGAGGGGGGGTTAGGGGAGATTTACCCGGATTTAAAATATGGGGGGAAGCGGTTAGCACAAAGAGACTTAGCCGGATATATATGAGGAAACTTGTCAGTATTAGGAAGTTACGGGCTATTCATGCCCGTGCCACCTCTTGGATGGCTTAATCTTTATCAATCAATCAGTATTAGGAAAGCTTACCTTGACGGGAGACATCTCCCGTCACGCAGGGTGCAGCCGCACCTCCACACATCTCCAGTATCATCTATTGATACTGGTAATGGCTCAAATGGGCCACCACTTACGGGCTATTCATCCCCGTGCCACCTTTTGGGTGGCTTAATCTTTATCAATCAATCAGTATTAGGAAAGCTTACCTGGATATATGATATGAGGAAAGTTGTCAGCAGGGGCTGGCTGATTACGCTTTTCGTGGACAGCCCGGGCATAACACGCCGATATGAGCGCTGTCAGTTCGGCGGCCTCCACCACCGCCACGGGGCTCTCGCTCGCCGCCAACTCCCGCATGATCTCGTCCACGATGCGTCTGGGGAATACATATCTTGTTGAGGACGTTCAGCATGCGACCAGCCCACTCTGACCCCTTACCAAAGGCCCCCCGAACTTAAAGACTTATATTAGCGTCATATCGGAGCCAGGTCCATGGTGGCTCTGCCTCTTTCGCTTCTCCGAAGAAGGCCTTTTTTTATGCAAACTTCACTTCACAGCTTCAACACCTGCGTACACAGCTTCTACACCTGGGTACACAGCTTCTACACCTGCGTTCACAGCTTCAACACCTGGGTACACAGCTTCAACACCTGCGTTCACAGCTTCAACACCTGCGTAGACAGCTTAACAAAAAGTAGCTGCTGGACTTGAACCTGGTCAAATGTAAAGTTACGAGAATGAAGCGAAGACAGGTTGATGTGTTAAAATAAGAAAGATCGTAGAGTAGACAAAACCCCACAATGAAGTGGCAGAATAAGACCATAACCTCCTTCGTCTACAGCTGCTCCTTCGTCTACAGCTGCTCCTTCGCCTACAGCTGCTGCTTCTCCTACAGCTGCTTTCTCCTTGTAGAGAAAACAAGCAGTCTTATTTACTTTATTTTACTTTTTTTATTAATATAATGTGTGATTGGCACAACACTAGCCAGAATAGCCGCTACTCTATTTCAGATTATCGTCACACTTCTCATAGTGACCTCAGGAGGCAGGGCCTCCTGTAGTGACCTGTTGTAGAGTGACCTCAGTGGGCAGGGCCTCCTGTGATGACCTGTCGTAGAGTGACCTCAGCAAACAGGGTAGCCTGTGGTGAGCTGTCGCAGACCTCAGCGACCAGGCGGAAGCCACACCCCGCCGGCTCTGAAGTCATCACCATAAACCAGCCAACTTTATGACATCCGCCAATTCTCTTTTATTAAAGTTGAAGCCGAACTGAAGAGCTGCAGGATCTGGGTGGTGTTGGCGTGGGTGTGGTTGCCATGGGTGTTAGTGGGGGACACAGTGAGCTCTCGGAGGACACATGGAGAACATGGGGGTGGACATGAGGACACGGGAAACATATGGAGGATATAGGATGGGCACAAAGGACACGGGGTGGACGTGGAGGGACACGGGATACACATAGAAAACATGGGGTGGACACGGGGAACACATGGACAATGACGGACATGGAGAAGACACGGGGAACTGATGGGGACATGAGGTGGACACGGGGACAAGGCTAGTGGGAACATCGCTACCCCTCCAAACCCATGGCCAGTCAACAAAAGAACTGGGTCGGCCGCCAACCGTGAAATAGCCAGTGACGACGGAAGGGTTGAAGGGGAGAGGTGAGGAGTGAGGGGGACGAGGGGACGAGGAGTGAGGAGGACGAGGGGGGTGATGAGGGATAGTTGGAGAGGGGGTGTGAGAGATGAGAGGCTGGGAGTGACAGGTGAGAGGGTAGAATGACAGGTGCTGGGCCTTTTTTGGTTAGTTTTTTAGTTGATTTTCAACACACACACACACACACACACACACACACACACACACACACACACACACACACACACACACAAACACACACACACACACACAAACACACACACACACACACACACACACACACACACACACACACACACACACACACACACACACACACACACACACACACACACACACACACACACACACACTACATACATTTTTGTCTCTCCTACACAAAGACAAAGTCAGAGACACGTTCTTGTACCTAGTGTACAATTGGTTATTGAGAACTCAACCACAGAATGTGATTAATGTGCGTTTACACATGTGAAATATAATTCTAACCAGCATATACACATGCATATGAAGCAAAGATTAACAATCACTGATCAATTAAATGCACAATAATCACATTTGCAAAAATAGAATTACAATCTCTCTCTCTCTCTCTCTCTCTTATTTTATCTTTTGTCTTTTCATTATCCTTAGTCTTCTATTAACTTATGGCCATCTTCCAAATATTTTTGCATTTTCCAATATTCCCGCTTCTTCGTGTCTCTGTCACCTCCCGCTTCAGCTCTGCTTCTCTGCTGCACCTCGACACTTCTTGCTGAAATATTTCGTTGGACAGCCAGAGGGCGCGAGGTTCTGCTCTTATCAAGGGTGAAATACGCGAGCCCAAGTCACTTTCCTCTCCCTTTACCCTCTCGTACTTTTTCAATTTTCATTCCAGGTGCCAATAAGACCCCGTGGTATTTCCGCGGCGTGGCGTCAACAATGCCGTCCAGTGAAGTCAACGGTGGCATTATCTTCTTATCACCAACTGTTTCTTTACCTTTCTTGGTCGACCTGCTGCTGCTGCTGCTGCAGCTGCGCTTGCTCTTGCTGTAGCTGATCCTACTGCAGATGCTTCTTCTCCTACAGCTGTTTTTTCGCCTATAGCTGCTTCTTCGCCTACAGCTGTTCCATCTCCTACAGCTGCTCCTTCGCCTATAGCTGCTTTTTCTCCTACAGCTGCTCCTTCGCCTACAGCTGCTCCTTCTACAGCTGTTCCTTCTCCTACAGCTGCTTCTTCGCCTACAGCTGCTTCTTCGCCTACAGCTGCTCCTTCGCCTATAGCTGCTTCTTCGCCTACAGCTGCTCCTTCTCCTACAGCTGCTCCTTCGCCTACAGCTGCTCCTTCTCCTACAGCTGCTCCTTCGCCTATAGCTGCTTCTTCGCCTACAGCTGCTCCTTCTCCTACAGCTGCTCCTTCGCCTACAGCTGCTCCTTCTCTTACAACTGCTCCTTCGCCTACAGCTGTTCCTTCGCCTACAGCTGCTTCTGCTCCTCATGCACCTACTCCTACTGTCTCATCTCTTTTGACTCTCTAAGATCTTCGTCGGCTTCTGCAGCCATAACATTGTTTTAGAGACCTGCTTGCTTGTCCATTTTAAAGAATGAAGAACAAATTTATTAATTTTATTTTTTAAGCTGCATCTCTTATGAACCCATCACTGCCCTTGTGTGGCAGTGCACAGGAGAAAGTTGAGTTTACATATTCGTAAATTGAAACATGTATACTGTCTTATGTAGTTGACTGTAACCATGATATACATATATGTGTGCTTCAGCCTACAGTTTAGACCTATTGTCTTGTGTATGACCCTCTGTCTTGCGTGACAATAAACGCATTATCCTCACTCTAATAAGACCAAACTGAATTCCCCAGATTAGGAAAAGTTGTAATGATTTTTTCTCAATAAAGATGTTAATAATAATAATAACTTACCTTTCCCCTTTGGCTTCTAATAGAGGTATTTTCACTAACTATAGTCCTCTAGTATATCTAGAAGCCCCCTGTTGAATAGAAATTATACCTCCTCTCCCACTTCTATCTCATTTAGCTACGCAATTTTAGCTTCTATCTAAATATCTATTATTCATCTTCACACACAGAGATCACACTAACGTGATGCTTCAAATGAACAAATCCACAAGGGCCGTGACGAGGATGCTCCCGGACGCAGGTTCGAATCCTCGTCACGGCCCTTGTGGATTTATTATTCATCTTCCTCTTCCTTCCTTCACCCCCCCCCCCTCCCTCCTATCTCTTCATCTTACCTGTCCCTCTTCACCCCTTCCGTCTCTCTCACCTGTACCATGTGGCCACAGGAGACATCTCCCGTCACGCAGGGTGCAGTCGCACCTCCACAGATCTCCAGTAGCAGCTCTTGATACTGGTAATGATTCAAAAGGGCCACCACTTACGGGCTATTCATGCCCGTGCCACCTTTTGGGTGGCTTAATCTTTATCTTTATCTCTCACCTGTCGCCAAAGAGGACGCAGTCTCCGGAGTGGATGTCGTAGTGGAGGAGTCTGCCGGCGGCCTCGTCGGTGAAGTAGCTCCCGGGTACCGGCACCGCCCACGCCCACGCTGCCGCCCACACCACCACGCTCAGCCACCGCATCTGAGGACACAATCTCAGGTCACCACTACGACGTTGGTACAACGTTCGAACAAGTTTTAACACCTAACAAGTTATAATATCCAATATAGCACGTTGTAACAACGTTCTAATACGTCATAGACACGTTAAGGCAAGATGTAACAACTTTATTACAAGTTGTAACAAGTGGAAAATAGAGACAGTTTCGGTTCGTGTTTCCAGGGCAGAAGGCCTGGAGCCAGATTCACGAAGCAGTTACGCGAGTACTTACGAACCTGTCCATCTTTTCTCAATCTTTGGCGGCTTTGTTTACAATTATTAAACAGTTAATGAGCTCCGAAGCACCAGGAGGCTGTTTATAACAATAACAACAGTTGATTGGCAAGTTTTCATGCTTGTAAACTGTTTAATAAATGTAACCAAAGCCGCCAAAGATTGAGGAACGATGTACAGGTTCGTAAGTGCTTGCGTAACTACTTCGTGAATCTGTCCTCTGTACAAGCTTTATATACATTGGTTACTACTCTTAACTCAGTGACGTCAGTGCCATTAATCTAAACAAGAAATGAATATATTTTTACATATGTTAATTTAAAACAAAATATATTATATTCACTTTTAGTATATCACTCGTAAGATGTGTTGACCAGACCACACACTAGAAAGTGAAGGGACGACGACGTTTCGGTCCGTCCTGGACCATTCTCAATCGACTTGAGAATGGTCCAGGACGGAACGAAACGTCGTCGTCCCTTCACTTTCTAGTGTGTGGTCTGGTCAACATACTTCAGCCACGTTATTGTGACTCATCGCCTGTACTGGTAAGATGTAGTGATGGGAAAGTATTCCTGGACTTATTTAATAACAAGACTCTTACCTAGAAGGCACGAAAGTATTCATATCTCACCAAAGAGTGTTATTATGGCAGACCTTAGAATGTTACAAACCAGTTAGCTGGCCAATTCTGCCATTACATCTACTACGCTCTTGTGTATTCCTAACATGTGTGGAGCAGCTGGGCAAGTGTTGCCTCCTGGGTAATATGTGTCATATTAGATGTGCACGTACTCTACCTTACTCATACTCCGCCTGAATGGTCATACTGAATTAGTTAGTTTAGTTCATTTATTATGCACCCCATACCCATGTTGTGGGCGGTAGTGGAAAGGGTTACAGAGGCACATAATGGGCTCAGGGACTGAACCCCACAATTCATTGAGCCAAGCAAGTTACAATCTTGATGAGCTAGTTACAAAATTCAATATAATTCGTCACATCAACAATGGGTTCGTCATATTGAGTGGTTACTCATTTACTAGTCCAGCCACTTGGGCTAGACGGTAGAGCGACGGTCTCGCTTCATGCAGGTCGGCGTTCAATCCCCGACAGTCCAAGTTGGTTGGGCACCATTCCTTTCCCCCCCGTCCCATCCCAAATCCTTATCCTGACCCCTTCGCAGTGCTTTATAGTCGAAATGACTTGGTACTTTCGCCTAATAATTACCCGCCTCCCAGCATTCTGATTTCACTCACCTTACAGGGCTCATGCAGTCATCCTACTTGGCCAAACCCAAATAAGATAACAGCTCTTGCTTGCAGTTTCACTAGCAACCTCAATGAAATACCTTAATAAACCCTAGTCTTAGTTAAACAAGAGAGATAGACAGAAATAACGAATTCAATATTCACAGCAACCATAAAAGCATTATCAACTTATGCATTTATTATAATTACAGCAATTTAACCTTAATTGAGGTAACAGCAAGACGAGGGGAATGGGGGTGAGGGAAAGCTGGCTTGCTGGGTGGTAGGATCAATATAACATAGAGCTTTGCTCTCTCTCACTACATGCCTAAGCTTCCCTCCCTTACCCATAATCACCCTTCCCTCCCCTTACCCTTCCCTCCACCCCATAATCATCCCAGGTTAGCGATAACCCCTATCATCATCCTCTTCCCTCGTCTTCATCCCATGATTTCTTAGTGGAGTTGTTGAGTCCTGTGTACACTTCTATATTTCATGGTGACGTCTGCTGGAGGACTGGGGACAGGTAGCACTGCGGCATGTATTCTTGGCTCCTTGTGCTGGTGTTCTTGGCTCCTTGTGCTGGTGTTCTTGGCTCCTTGTGCTGGTATTCTTGGCTCCTTGTGCTGGTGTTCTTGGCTCCTTGTGCTGGTGTTCTTGGCTCCTTGTGCTGGTGTTCTTGGCTCCTTGTGCTGGTGTTCTTGGCTCCTTGTGCTGGTGTTCTTGGCTCCTTGTGCTGGTGTTCTTGGCTCCTTGTGCTGGTGTTCTTGGCTCCTTGTGCTGGTGTTCTTGGCTCCTTGTGCTGGTGTTCTTGGCTCCTTGTGCTGGTATTCTTTGCTCCTTGTGCTGGTATTCTTGGCTCCTTGTGCTGGTGTTCTTGGCTCCTTGTGCTGGTGTTCTTGGCTCCTTGTGCTGGTGTTCTTGGCTCCTTGTGCTGGTGTTCTTGGCTCCTTGTGCTGGTGTTCTTGGCTCCTTGTGCTGGTATTCTTTGCTCCTTGTGCTGGTATTCTTGGCTCCTTGTGCTGGTGTTCTTGGCTCCTTGTGCTGGTGTTCTTGGCTCCTTGTGCTGGTGTTCTTGGCTCCTTGTGCTGGTATTCTTTGCTCCTTGTGCTGGTATTCTTGGCTCCTTGTGCTGGTGTTCTTGGCTCCTTGTGCTGGTGTTCTTGGCTCCTTGTGCTGGTGTTCTTGGCTCCTTGTGCTGGTGTTCTTGGCTCCTTGTGCTGGTGTTCTTGGCTCCTTGTGCTGGTATTCTTGGCTCCTTGTGCTGGTGTTCTTGGCTCCTTGTGCTGGTATTCTTGGCTCCTTGTGCTGGTGTTCTTGGCTCCTTGTGCTGGTATTCTTGGCTCCTTGTGCTAGTATTCTTGGCTCCTTGTGCTAGTATTCTTGGCTCCTTGTGCTGGTATTCTTGGCTCCTTGTGCTGGTATTCTTGGCTCCTTGTGCTAGTATTCTTGGCTCCTTGTGCTAGTATTCTTGGCTCCTTGTGCTGGTATTCTTGGCTCCTTGTGCTAGTATTCTTGGCTCCTTGTGCTAGTATTCTTGGCTCCTTGTGCTGGTGTTCTTGGCTCCTTGTGCTGGTGTTCTTGGCTCCTTGTGCTGGTATTCTTGGCTCCTTGTGCTGGTATTCTTGGCTCCTTGTGCTAGTATTCTTGGCTCCTTGTGCTAGTATTCTTGGCTCCTTGTGCTGGTGTTCTTGGCTCCTTGTGCTGGTGTTCTTGGCTCCTTGTGCTGGTATTCTTGGCTCCTTGTGCTGGTATTCTTGGCTCCTTGTGCTGGTGTTCTTGGCTCCTTGTGTTAGTATTCTTGGCTCCTTGTGATGGTATTCTTAGTTCCATCTTCTTCTGGTATTCTTAGATACTTATACAAATACAAGTTCTTGCTTAATGTTTTCGTGTTCTTGTCAATGGATGTTTCTCAAACTGGCTGCATATCCTCGCTGGAGTCTGGTTCTTGATATTTAATCTTAATCCGCCCACTAACGCTCTCAGCGCCCACTGCACCAACTTCCCCGCCCCGCTAACACCCTCCCCGCCCACTACGCGAACATTCCCGCCCACTCCAACACACTCCCGCCCTAGCAGCAGCTGGTAGGAGGGCCTGACATGAACGCCAGGGATGTGGTTTATGTATCGGAGAAGAGCATGTCGAGGACAAGGACTGGATAACCAGGGCGTAAATCGGCGACGTTATGACCCCTGTCTCCTCCTCGGGGGCCCTCCACACCAAGACTGAGTCTGGGGAGCCATGCTGCGCTTGAAACAATCCAGCGATCCCTTTGTTTCTCTGATTATTTCATGGCCTCTTGAAGTATTACTTAAATTTAAACCTTGGGAGTCCGTTCACATAGACCTGGAGGCAGCACAGGTTCCAGGCTGAGAGTCCGTTCACATAGACCTGGAGGCAGCACAGGTTCCAGGCTGGGAGTCCGTTCACATAGACCTGGAGGCAGCACAGGTTCCAGGCTGGGAGTCCGTTCACATAGACCTGGAGGCAGCACAGGTTCCAGGCTGGGAGTCCGTTCACATAGACCTGGAGGCAGCACAGGTTCCAGGCTGGGAGTCCGTTCACATAGACCTGGAGGCAGCACAGGTTCCAGGCTGAGAGTCCGTTCACATAGACCTGGAGGCAGCACAGGTTCCAGGCTGGGAGTCCGTTCACATAGACCTGGAGGCAGCACAGGTTCCAGGCTGGGAGTCCGTTCACATAGACCTGGAGGCAGCACAGGTTCCAGGCTGGGAGTCCGATCACATAGACCTGGAGGCAGCACAGGTTCCAGGCTGAGAGTCCGTTCACATAGACCTGGAGGCAGCACAGGTTCCAGGCTGGGAGTCCGTTCACATAGACCTGGAGGCAGCACAGGTTCCAGGCTGAGAGTCCGTTCACATAGACCTGGAGGCAGCACAGGTTCCAGGCTGAGAGTCCGTTCACATAGACCTGGAGGCAGCACAGGTTCCAGGCTGGGAGTCCGTTCACATAGACCTGGAGGCAGCACAGGTTCCAGGCTGGGAGTCCGTTCACATATACCTGGAGGCAGCACAGGTTCCAGGCTGAGAGTCCGTTCACATATACCTGGAGGCAGCACAGGTTCCAGGCTGGGAGTCCGTTCACATAGACCTGGAGGCAGCACAGGTTCCAGGCTGGGAGTCCGTTCACATATACCTGGAGGCAGCACAGGTTCCAGGCTGGGAGTCCGTTCACATAGACCTGGAGGCAGCACAGGTTCCAGGCTGAGAGTCCGTTCACATAGACCTGGAGGCAGCACAGGTTCCAGGCTGGGAGTCCGTTCACATAGACCTGGAGGCAGCACAGGTTCCAGGCTGAGAGTCCGTTCACATATACCTGGAGGCAGCACAGGTTCCAGGCTGGGAGTCCGTTCACATAGACCTGGAGGCAGCACAGGTTCCAGGCTGGGAGTCCGTTCACATAGACCTGGAGGCAGCACAAGTTCCAGGCTGGGAGTCCGTTCACATAGACCTGGAGGCAGCACAGGTTCCAGGCTG